CAGCGGCTTGGGGTGCTTCTCACCACCTGTGCTCCCCGGCCCTCTGCCTCCCTTCTCTCCTCTCTCTTCTCTGCCTTCTCACTTCTTACCCCTTCAGACCTTCCAGGAGCTGGCAAGGATGTGCTCGTTCACTCGCCCACTTATTCTTTTGTTTTGGGGGTTTGATTTTTTTTTTTTTTTTTTTTTTACATTTTGTCCCCATGATCATCTCTTATTTATTTTATAACTGGAAGTTTGTACATTTTGATCCCCTTCATCCATTTCACACAACCGCACCCCACCCCCACCTCTGGCAACTACCTGTTCTCTGCATCTATGAGTTTGGGTTTTTGTTTTTTTGTTTTTTGTTTTTTTTCGATACCACATACAAGCGAGATCACACAGTATTTTTCTCCGTTTGACTTACTTCACTTAGCATAATGCCCTCAAGGTCCGGTTTATTCTCCAACTGACAACGTGCGGGACCCTCAGAGATCCAGGGATGAAGGTTCAGCCCTGGAGGAGGTCCCCACTCTGAAAGGAGTCACGTGTAGAAACTGCTGGGGATCCCATTAATGCAGCAGAGTAAGGGGGAGGGGTGTCAAGGAAAGCTGTCTGGAGGAGGAGGAGGGGTGAAGCTAAGACTTAAAGGCAGAGAGAATTCTACCAGCAGCTGCGCCTTTTCAGGGGGACCCAAAGCAGAGTGTACTGGGGTGAGGTCTGCATGTTGGGCCTGGGCCTCGAAGGAGTGGCTGGATTTTGGAAACTTCAGCACTAGCAGAATTAGCATTATCATGAGTGGTAACACCATAGAGGAAGAGCTCTGAGGCCGCCTCCCCCACCTGCCTGGCCAACTGGATGGTGGGGTGGTGTGGGCACCGCCCAGGCCCTGAGCTCCAGCAGACAAGCCCGAACCTACCACCGACCACCTTCCTGGTCACACAGAGCCCTGCCTGTCCCCTTCACTAGCTTGATCATTAGACCAGAACTTAACCTGGGGAGGATTTGAGGAGAGACTTCCTGACCCAAAATAGTTCTGCTGTGGCAGCACGGGGCCCCAAAAGCCCCCCGCACAGAAGTGTTTCTCAGGTGAAGGTGTCCCACCTGCAGGGGCCCTCAGGTAAAACGTGAAGTCTCAGAGAAGGGGACCAGTGGTGTTTGAGGCTGGCCGTGGATTCCTCTCAGTGCTCTGTGAGCAGATGCCATCCAGGGAGTCTGAGTAGCGGAAGGGCCCTGGTCACTGTAGGGCAAGCAGGCCATCCCTGTCTGTCTCACCTCACCCTGATCCCAATGCCAGGGGGAGAGATCCTGAGTGGGAAGAGGCTCCCCAGACCAGACAGGTATGGAGGGAGTCTCCTTTAGTTGAGAAAGCCTCCCCCACATGGCAGAAATCCAGCTGCTAACCATTTAGGCTCACTCATCTTGCAAAGAGACGAGGCCACCTACTGTGACCCTTCTTATTGGGGTCGAATTGTGTCCCCCCAAAAGAGCTCTTCAAGTCCTAACGCCCTATACCTGGGATTGTAACCTTATTTGGAAATGGGGTCTTTGCAGATGTAAGTTAGGGTGAGGTCCTACTGGATTTAGGGTGGGCCCTAATCCAGTGACTGGGGTCCTTATAAAGGAAAGCAGAGGGAGATTCAGACAGAGAGATGCAGACACACAAGGAAGAAGGCCATGCGATGATGGAGGCAGAGACTGGGGTGCCATGCCTATAGGCCAAAGAAGGCCAAGGATTGCCTGAAGCCACCAGAAGTAAGGAGAGTGCCGAGGATAGATTCTTCCCTATAACCTTCAGAGGGAGCATTGCCATACGGACACCTTGCTTTTGGATTTCTAGCCTCCAGAACCGTTAGAGGATAAATGTTTCAGGTCACCCAGTTTGGGATACCTTGTTATGGCTTCCACAAGAAACTAATACACTTACATCCAGAGCGAGCTACCTTTGGCTTGTGCCTCGATCCCTTGGCCCGACAGCCAGGTTTGGGGTGTGTCTGTTGGTGAGTCACATGAGGAGGCAAGATGGGGGCCTGCACCTGGACTTTCCTTCTCTCTCTCAAGAATTATTTGTTGATCACCTACTGGGGTCCAGGCAGAGTAGTGGGGGATAGACATGAACAGAGGCACGGCCCAGCTGACACTCCAGTCTGGGGAAAGAGTGTGGGAAAACCCGTAAGGTTCATGGCCTAGGCCACAGCCCACCATGTGGGATTCCTGTGAACAGTGCAGGGGTGCTGTGACCCAGGCGGTCATGGATTGCCAGAGCAGCTGAAGGCCAGCGAGCTGGGGGTGGGGGGCATGTCAGGGCCGGTGGGGTGCTTGGTGGGAAGCTTGCCATGCTTTCCAGCCCCACTTGGGGGACACCAGAGTTGGGCTGGCTCCCTGTGTCTCAGGCCATCAGCGCTCACAGTGGTGACCACCTTGGTGACCTTACAAAGTTGACCCCAAAGGCTCAGAGAGGTCAGGAGGCTGTCTGTCTCAGGTACAGTGTGGATGACTCAGTGGTCCTCCTGCCAGAGGAAAGAAGGCCTGGCTGGGAGCCGAAGGGGAAGCCAGAGACAGGGACCCAGAGGCTCTGGGGTCTGGGCAGGGGCTCCCCCCGTCACGAGGTGGTCCCTGCCAGAAGATCCCTTTGCTTCCCACACCACGAAGTGTTTCTGAATTGTCCGCCCCACCTCACCACTTGGGTCGCATCTCAAACTCAGCATGCCCTACACCCCACCCTCTCAGCACATCTTTCTCAAAGATGCCTCTCATGCCTTTCCCTTCCCCCTTTACTCATGGTCCCCGGAACAAGTGCACTTTGTCAAAATTCAAACTTGCTCCCCTTTCTGAAAGATGACAGTGAAACACGTCCATCATAAAAAAAATGATTGAATATGGAAAAGTAGAAAGGACAAAGCACCTGTACCACATGGGTTTATTTCCTTTCAGTCTTTTTTCTGTGAATTAAAGTTTTTAATGTTTTATTTTATTTTTGAGAGAGAGAGACAACACAAGCAGGGGAGGGACGGGGGGCGGGGTGGGACACAGAATCCGAAGCAGGCTCCAGGCTGTCAGCACAGAGCCTGATGCGGGGCTCGAACCCACAAACCGCCAGATCATGAGCTGAAGTCAGATGCTTAACCAACTAAGCCACCCAGGTGCCCCTTTCCTATGAATAGTTTGACATTGTTTTTATCATACATTTCCATCCCTGCCCTCCCCAACTCAGTATAATATTGCATTTTCTTGGACCCTGAAAATTCTTTGTAAAATATCTTTTTAAGAGACTGCTCAAAATCTGCTTAAATCCCTTGGCAGTTTCCATGGCTTTCTGGGTACTAAAATTTACTAAAATTCACCGTTCAGCTCTCAAGGTCAGTCATGACCTGACACCTGCTTCCCTCCCTCTCCTTACTCCCTCCTGAACCCCCTGGATCCCTCCCAAAGGAGCATGGACACACGGTCCCGAGTGCCCCTCTGCCCACCGTCCCCCACAGGGTACTCTGCTGTCCCCAGGGTCACCTCCGTGGCTCAGGAAGGCAATCCTCCACCCCTCGTTGGGACGGGAACTGGGGCAGGTCTATACCCTAGTGGGGGCTGCGTCCATCCTCTCCAGAGCTTCCGTTTGTGTCCAGATCCCACCCAGTGGAATGAAGGAAGGGCCTTGGGATTCTGGGAAGGAAAGCCTTCCTCCCCGATGCAAAGACATACAGGGGAACTGCTGCTCCTCTCGGGTGACCATCACTT